AATGAATTCAGAGGTGAACTTGCCCAATCAATCAGTCACTCATTTCCTTATGAAAATCAGCAAATTGTACATCTATTGCTCTCCCACTTGGTTTCCAGAATAATAGTTCAAAGACCTTCCAAAATTAAAGCTATTAGTAGGAAAGTCATCTAATTGGAGAAGTCATGATTCTTCAGGATTTTGATGGGTGTGTTTGACTTAGCAAGGTCCAACTGCATTCGAAAATGTTTGCTGTACTGTAAAATTTCCCGGTTTCAAAGATCTTTCTCCTGCCAAACTTCTGTTTGAGAATTGTATTCTTTAATGTATACTCCTTACACATATTTCCCACTACAGTATTTAAGAATCAAAAGGAAATTCTATGCTAGGAAAAATTAGAGAATCAATTGTAGAAAAGCCTTTCTGAGCTTCTACACATGCCATTCTCACACACACAAAAATACTGTAATTGCTCAAGTACCATGTGCCCTTGGATAAGTCATGCATCTTAGATTTTAAGCTACATTTTTGGAAAAATTTCATTCCTGCATGCCCCTTGGTTTTCAGTTACCAAAATTTGTTAAAAATTTACTTTGAAGCCCATTTTTAAATGCAATTTGATGGGTTACATTCTTGGTTTCATACAAATAGTAACAACTGTACCATCAACCCTCAAGAAGCAGCCACCCTTTATTTATTTTCTTTTTGGAGAACAGCTAATACTGTATATGAAAAAAATCATTTTCTTCTAGAAAACAACCAAAATACAGCCTGTGATGCACACATTATATCTAGCTGATGTTCCCAAGAAGTAAATTGTGTCATCTTCAATTCCTTTTTTTATTGACAACCTCTCAGAGAAACTTGATTTTTTTTTATATCCCGCGAACAAGATTTAACCGGCAGGGGCATATTTGAGTTCGCAATCATTTTGGCAGATGGCGTTTCAATGCAATTACCGCATAATTAAATCTGTCTTCAAAAAATTTGTGCTTGTCAAAGGTGGCGGCGTATTTAAGAACGCTTTCAAGGTGTTTTCACTGTAGTAACACTAAAGTTGATCAGGATAAAAAAAAACGTAGCTAGCTTTTTTAAGGAGAAGAATTTAAAATTTTTGAAAAAAAAAATCCCCTTTAAATTCTGTCCCCAATTGAGATGTAAAACCTTTTTTTTCCGAGGGTGCAATGGGAACTTGGGTGAATACAATAAAAAATAAAATGAATGAATGAAATAATGATTGATAGGAAGGAGGAGGGACGAAAAGAAACGCAAGGACATTTCAGCATGCCTGAAGTGGAGATCTGGGCCAGGGCCTCGGCTAGCCCCGCAGTGCTAGTCTCCGCACACTCGCCCAAAATGTCGCCGAGGGCATTCCGCCGCCCCGTGCGACCAGACACGAGGAAGTCCTCGGGCACCGCCGCAGCCGGTGACGCCACCGCGCCGCCCTCAGCCGATGGACCGCCTTCTGCTCCGCCGCCGCCGCTACCGCCTGCCGATGAGCCGCTCATGCTGCGTGCTCATCCTCTCCGACGGTGCTTATCTCGTTCACACCTCTCCTCACTTCACTCTTTCCCTATCTTTTTTTCTTTCAAATCTTCTGCCAAAGAAAAATTGATCCATCAATCATAAATCAACCCAAAATAGAAAGAGGTAACAAAAAGCAACAACAACAAAAAAGTCCCAATGAAGTTAATTCACTAGTGATGCTCGACACATTTCTCAACAGAAGCGAATGTTTTCGAGATATTGATTAAACATATCAAACAATTAAATCATACCTTTCCAGGAAAAAAATGCTTATTTTAATTATTCAAATTCAAATCTCTTTTAGTCGTAATCGGAAAATTGTCTTAATTTTTTCACTTCCCAAAAATAAGATTTGGCAGGAGTGAAAGTGAACATATTCTTGGTACAGATTGTTTAATTTGTAATTTTGCTTCCCAAATTGGCCACTGTTAGGAACTTGGAAAAACTGACTGTATTGTATTGAATAAATATTTTGGCCACATCCTTCGCACTTTGACTCCATCTAATTTTGAAAGGGAAAAAATATCGGATCCTAACACTGAATTATATCAAGCCATTCACTCGTTCCACTTTCTCAAAAGTTCAAAATTCCAATTTCGAAAATTCTATTGAATGGCTGGAGCCAAAAAAAAAAAATACTGAAAGTGGCTACATTGGAAAGTAAGATTAAAATCTAACTGTAATTGGAACATATTTAGTTTCACTCCTGTCAAGTCTTATTTCTGGTAAAGTGAAGGAATCGAAAGAAAATTTTCCAAAAATTTTCGAATTCCAAGATGGCAAATACACAACTTAGTGTCTATGAATAATTTTCAAAATTCAGCATCTCAGTGTGAACTCACTTTTTGAAACACTTTCCCTCACTATTCCCCAAAAACTTCCGTTTCCGATTTATTTGGTTTTCTTCCGCTCAAGAAAAAAAAAGAAACAACCTTGTCAACTGTCAAATTGTCATCACTCTACCAAAAAAAAAAAGAACCAGATGAATATCACGGAATGATTCAATATTTGCCCAAAACAACAGGCTCACCAATGCACAAAAAAAATGCCCGCTTCTTCCGCGTGGAAATAAAGCCTCGAGTGAGATGCGTGAATAAATTGTTTCACTCTTTTGTTCCAATGCATAAATTGCAACCCTTGAAATTCCTCTTTGGACTGTTTTCACGCTGAATAGTGATCAGAAAGTATGCATCTTTTCTTCTAGAAAGAAACTGCAAAAATTCTATTCTAATTCAAAGAAGTCTCAAATTTTGGGGAAAAGATGGGTATTGAAATTTGTTTCATAGCCCTTTGAGTACTCTAGAGAGGACAAGTAGCATGTATTGAACTTTTGGAACACCCCCTGAAAATTCTGCAGTAATTCAACTTTTCTTTCAATTTTCAAATTTAAAAAAAGGGGGAATGGAACCGTTTTTAGTGAGACCTGGGATCAAGGTGTCTTTCAATTTTTGAAATAACTCCCTGACCTTTCTTTTTGAGAATTTTCGTAGGCGCTGGCACCAATACGTGAGTCACCTGAATACGAGTTTCGCAAAAACACCCAAAATCTGGTATTTGGTGTGAATGCCAAAATACAACTTCGTGATGATAACCAGGGAAACTTTTCGTTGAATTTCAGTCGGAGTTCTTCATGCCCAGGCACAATTTCCCGGATCATTCGTCGACATCCAAAGCAAGTCCGCTCTGCGAATCAACAAAATGCAGTAATTTAAAAAATACGCCATGGAACGAACAAAAAATACAGAATCAAACTCACCCAGTAGCGGATACCATGAAAAATAAACCAGCAACAACAAGGACATGCATGATGTTATGCGAATTACAGGCATAGTCCAGACGTCCTGTAAAGTGAGAGACAAAGTGATCCGCATAACGGAATTATTTCGCAGGTCAATTTTTGGCCAAGAAAAGGCAGATTTGAAAAAAAAAAATTGGAAAAATGTGAAAAGATGGTCACATTTGGTGAAGTTCATAGTCATGTGCACAAATTGTCTAGTTTAACTTCAATGTAATTCCATATTGATGCAAGTAAAACATGCACTTTTTCCTGAAGGTCAATTTTGCCAGAGCCAACTTTTCCCTGCTCTGCTCTGAGTCACTCCTAGTGAATCTGCACTCTCTCTTTTCTGGTTGTGCATGAGTGACTTGAAGAATAGGGAACTCAACTGCAAGTATTGAGGCTCACACAAGTTGAGTTGGATT